TATATATATATATATATATATATAACGTATGGTATATATATTATTTTCTTATATATAATATATATGAGAGAGAAATTATATTCAGTCATGGGTAAAATTGCGTTTTGTACTGTTATTCTTTTCCTGATTTTGGTTGATTTGAAATGATGGCTCACCAAACTCCTCAACCAAGCACAAATTCACATCGAGTCATTTTAGCAATAAGAGAGGATATATCGTTTTAACTGTCCATGTGTCAAATGGTAGTGTTCTCATTGGATACATTACACAATGTTGTTAGCACTCACCAAACAGAACGAGCTCCAACGGAAATTGGAACACCGTGAGTTGATTCCGTACGCTTAATTAATTCAACACAGCTCTCGGACAGGGCTTCACTCAAACAAGCACAAATTCATGTAGTTGGGTCGTGCGCTGTCCAAACAGGAGACCTATGTTCGAAACGCATTATGACCAATTATTTATTGGTGATTTCCGCGTTTTGAGATGAACCCGTCGCAATGTCTCTAAAACCACAATACCTCAGTTGGTAGTAAGCATTCCGAGCGAAATTCAAATGTGATTTGCTGGAAGTTGTGTATGCTGGGGATGTATATTTAAATAATAGTTTCTTTTTGAAATGCTGTCTATAAGAAGTAAATTTTATTGATATATTTTTTTTTAATCTAATTATATATATATATATATATATATATATATATATATATATATATATATATATACAATGTAATCCGGATATAAGAGAGTTGTCGGGACCGGAGAAGAAGTCTCTTATATCCGGGTTTGGTCTATTTTATATACAGTAACACAGTCTCTAATTTGGGACCAGAGAAAATCTATCTTATATCCGGGTTTCTCTTATATCCGGGTTACACTGTATGTATATATATATATATATATATATATATATATATATATATATATATTTGAAGTTATGAAGAACTTGGTAATCCGTATGATAAAAACCCAATTACAGCCTATTTTCTCTTTACTTCCCTCTCCCTCTTTTTTTCTTTTTCCTTATTCCCTACCCCCTGCCATTTCAATACATCACTTCCGTTAAGTTAACCGTCTAAATAGGTCAGGGTCTGGTCACTCCTCTTCCCCAATACAAAGTATGCTTGAGATAGATATGAAATTAATCCCTCCCTATACTCTACCATGTCACTTTAACTATCCCTTTTACACTCTCTGTTAAATTACAACAACTTGCACTACCCATCAATTTTAATTTCATTTTTCGTTTCATTTCATTTTTGGAAGTGCTATCTGATGATCCGACGTCCTTTAAAAGGACTCTGGTGAAATAAATTATTATAATAGTACCTTAAAGTGGTCTGTTTTTCTTTTATATATATATATATATATATATATATATATATATATATATCCAGGTACGATGAGAACGAATAGACTACAATTCCAACGTTCGTAATATTTATTTTAAGAGGTGTATTGATATTTGGTAGCTATTTTTGACATTTTACACTGATTGGTTAGTGTTCTTAACATCTTATATGAAGGATCTTTATTTAACAGATTCATATTAATTTATCAAATAATTCTATATGGGTAAATTATTCACAATATTCTTAAAGAAACCATTTATCACCTGCATAAAATTAATGTAATTAATTCACAAAGCATAACACTTGTTTATCAATTTGTTAAATTACCACTCAACCCAGCCTCTTATTTCTTAGGAAACAGTATTGTCTGGTTGGTATATTTTATGTAACCATATGTATCCGCTCTAAGTTTATGTCTGGCTGCCGTTAGCTGCCAATCTACGTGTCATCACCGATATATAAAAAATATTTTTTAATTTTTACTTCTTCGCTTAGTTTAAATTTAACTTAATTTATATTTGAGTGGTTAATCAGAATAAAACCCACAAGCATTTTAACACTTGTCTTTTTTTTTGTAAAAGGAGATTATATTTTGCTTTTAAAACTAAATAAATCGTTCACTGGACAGTAATTTAAATTCGGCTGATGAAATGCATTGAAACAGGATTGCAATTTTGTAGCAATTATTACATGTTTTTTTCGTATATATATATATATATATATATATATATATATATATATATATATATATATATATATATATATAAATAACCCATATATATATATATATATATATATATATATATATATATATATATATATATATATATAAATTATTCCTTTTTTATTTTTAATCTTACTAGTAGAAAAAGCAAACATAATAACCTCATCAACAGGTATAAAAAAAATTGGAAGCTTAATAATAAAAAGAAAAAGCCAACGCTTAGCATTACGGACTCGGCCACAATGTGCTGTGTTCGGAAAATAAAACATCACTATAACACCAAACACACACACACAATTACACTGAGAAAAAAAAGTAATCCTTGATAATTTCTAAAAGGATAGTGGAAAGCTCTCGGAATTATAGAACGTCTGAACAGTTTCTACACACGCTGTATTCGAAAAAGAAAACACTTGTTCGAACACATGAAAATTAAATTAAAAAAAGCTTAATCGTAGTATATTGTCTGTCGTCTTTAATGAAAAAAAAAATGAATAAAAAATTTCTACCTAAATACACACAAGATTATATATATATATATATATATATATATATATATATATATATATATATATATATATATATATATAGTTTTTCAAATGATTACATTTTGAGAACGGTAATAAATATAAATGAGTCTAGCTGAAAGTCAAGGTAAATTCTGAACGCTGCTAAATTTTCCTTTTTTCCTTAATTTCCTTTTCAAGGTATTTTGGTAATATCCTATATGTATGAACACCTTTATATAATTAATTATTGTACGAATGCACATATAGACGCTCTCACACACACACACGTAAATTTAAGGAAGAATATCATTTGTTTCGCTCATTAATGCTATATATATATATATATATATATATATATATATATATATATATAGATATAGATATATATATATATATATATATATATGTTTGTGTATTTAAGCAGAAATACCTGTTTTATGCAAGTTGCATTAAAACGAATGACAAGGTACTGCGATTAAGAGTTTTATTCAATAAAAAAACTTAATCTGAGGAACTTGTCAAGTGTTAAGGCAATTAGGAAATGGACGGGTGTTGCACAAGCGGGAATTGCCAGAAAATAAACTGTTCGAGTAGTAGTGACGGTTGATTTTCGCTATTTTAACAGTAAGACGGTGGGATCTAGGTGCACACTTAAATACACACTGACACACACACGCATATATATAAGTTAAATTAAGAAGCAAATATGATAACTATAGATTTTACGGTTTTCCTTATGAACAAATTTATCTTTTCTCGCATATATATATATATATATATATATATATATATATATATATATATATATATATACATGCACACACATACACACACACACATATTTTAAATAAAAACAGACCACCTTAAGGTTCCATGTAATAAATTCTTTCACCAAAGCCCTTTTAAAAAGACTTGTGGATCATCAGAATTTACTTCCCAACAAAAACATTTTTTGTTTGGGATTTGGTGAAATAATTTATTACTTGGAACTTTAAGTTGTCTATTTTTATTTAAATTATTTGCTCTGAATTTACATTGAGCTCTCTGGATTTTATAATCCTTAGGATTACCCATACGGATTACCTAGTTTTTCATAAATATATATATATATATATATATATATATATATATATATATGTGTGTGTGTGTGTGTGTGTGTAAATATCGTTTAAAAGCTGAAGGGCCAGGAGACTGCGAATTTGATTAAGAATCTTCGTTGTCGGCATAAAAATTGATATTAAAAATAACTAAGTAATCTTTTGCATATCATATATATATATATATATATATATATATATATATATATATATACTTTTTATAAAACAGATTTTATTTTATAAATTACTATATACGTATTTGAATTCTTTCACCTTTTTTTAATTTAAGTCATAAAATATAATCGTTTTTACGTTCGTAATAACATTAAAAGAAAAAGTCAATATATGCCTTTTCCAATTTTGAAAAGCTATTCCTTTCTCTTTGAATTTCGCTCTAATTCCTGGAAAACATTCGCATTATTTTCTTTTAAAGAATTCTTTTGTTTTCTAATGATAACAGCAGTAATCATCAAGTAAATAATCTCTTACATTGTATGCATCCAATTTTGTTTTAATATTCTCTGAATTAATCCGATCACATGAAAAAGTTTAATTATCAGTGGATAAAAGCGTAGGCTGCGGCAATCCAGTAACTTGATTCAAAGATTTGTGAGTTCAATATCTCGTGACAGCAGAGATGAAGGAAAACATTGAGAATTGAACTGCTAAAAGGAAATAGATGAAACTGTGATATATGGAAGAGGCAGAGCATGTGGAACTAGAACAATCTACCATTATGAAATCAATAAGCGGTCCGGTTCAAAATTCCAAACACCTGAAAAAGGCTGGCGAGTACAGAAGACAATAAGTCATGTATATGACAACAAAGATAAGGATAACAGACCGAACAATATCAGTAGTGGAAATAAAAGAGGATCAAGCTAAAATGGCAAACGAAATAAACGCAAACATATGGATATGGATCTTTTTCTTAATCATTTCCCCTCAAGAAAATCGATGAAGGTATTAATGTAAGCGAAAGAAAACATTAAGGTAAGAAAAAACGGTATTCTAGAAGACAGAACATGAATATTGTCGTTGCATCTAGAGATTTCAAGATCATAGTTGTCAGAAAATCAAGAAGCCGGTAGAGAGTTACAAAAACGAGACTCATTCAGTGACGCTTGAACAATTTCAACAGTAACTGGATCAGACCTAACTGACACTTCAGTTCGTGACGTCGATCTACAAAATAGGAAAGCTAATCAGAACAATTACGATTGAAAGAATTTATAGTAAAGTAACCGGGAAGCTACGTTACGGCGTTCCGGAAAGCTACGCTACGGCCGTCTGGGAAATTACTCTACGGCCGTCCGGAAAGGTACGCAACGGCAGTCCGTGAAGTTACGCTACGGTTGTTCTGGAAGCTACGTTACGGCGGTTCGGGAAGCTACGCAACTGCGGTTCGGGAAGCTACGGTACGGCGGTTTGGGAAGCTACGCAACTGCGGTTCGGGAAGCTACGCCACTGCGGTTCGGAAAGCTACGCCACTGCCGTCCGGGAAGCTACGTTACGACGACTCAGGAAACTACGCAACAGCGGTCCGGGAAGCTACGCTACTGCGGTCCGGGAATCTACAGTACGGCGGTTTGGGAAGCTACGCAACTGCGGTCCGGAAATCTACAGTACGGCGGTTTGGGAAGCTACGCAACTGCGGTTCGGGAAGCTACGCAACTGCGGTCCGGGAAGCTACGTTACGGCGGTTCGGGAAGCAACGCAACTGCGGTCCGGGAAGCTACGCAACTGCGATCCGTGAAGCTACGTTACGACGACTCAGGAAGCTACGCAACTGCGGTCCGGGAAGCTACGCAACTGCGTTCCGGGAAGCTACAGTACGGCGGTTTGGGAAGCTACGCAACTGCGGTTCGGGAAGCTACGCAACTGCGGTCCGGGAAGCTACGGTACGACGACTCAGGAAGCTACGCCACTGCGATCCGGGAAGCTACGCAAAATGCGATCCGTGAAGCTACGTTACGACGACTCAGGAAGCTACGCAACTGCGGTCCGGGAAGCTACGCCACTGCGGTCCGGGAAGCTACAGTGCGGCGGTTTGGGAAGCTACGCCACTGCGGTTCGGGAAGCTACGCCACTGCGGTCCGGAAACCTACGGTACGACGACTCAGGAAGCTACGCAACTGCGGCGCGGGAAGCTACGCAACTGCGGTCCGGGAAGCTACGTTACGGCGGTTCGGGAAGCTACGCTACTGCGGTCCGGGAAGCTACGCAACTGCGATCCCTGAAGCTACGTTACGACGACTCAGGAAGCTACGCCACTGCGGTCCGGGAAGCTACAGTACGGCGGTTTGGGAAGCTACGCAACTGCGGTCCGGGAAGCTACGCAACTGCGGTCCGGGAATCTACAGTACGGTGGTTTGGGAAACTACGCAACTGCGGTTCGGGAAGCTACGCCACTGCGGTCCGGGAAGCTACGGTACGATGACTCAGGAAGCTACGCAACTGCGGTTCGGGAAGCTACGTTACGACGACTCAGGAAGCTACGCAACTGCGGTCCGGGAAGCTGGTATGGCGGTTTGGGAAGCTACGCAACTGCGGTTCGGGAAGCTACGCCACTGCGGTCCGGGAAGCACATACGACGACTCAGGACTACGCAACTGCGGCCCTGGAACTGCGGCCTGGTGGTCCGGGAAGCTACGCAACTGCGGTCCGGGAAGCTCCGGGACGTTACGGCGGTTCGGGAAGCAACGCTACTGCTGTCCGTGAAGCTACGTTAAGACGGTAAAAATGATTTTGAACCGAAGTGCTGAGTAAGTACCGATGGAAACGCTGATTCTTCTTTTGGATTCTGTGAACAATCTCCAGATATATAACAGAAGCACCAGTCCAGATATGGCAGCAATATTCTATGCATTAACGAATGGCATATTCATCAAGAATGACTTACGGTCTGTTGGTAACTGGGCCAAGGAGCGGCTTGTTAATTTTAACACCTCAAAAATGAAACATCTCTCTATCAATCACCTGAAAGAACCATGCCTGCCTCCCATCAGCATGGATGATATTAACCTCTATGATAGTGATCAATTGCGTCCTCTCACGCTTACATTCTCATCTGACATGAAGTGAAAATATTATATTGAAATCATAGCTATAACTACTGTTAAGAAAATTTGTTCACTGTATCTTGCTAGATAATTTTTTTTCCTACTGAAACTATCTTACATATTTCTACCATTTGTCAATGCCTTGAATATTGCCGCCATATATGGCCCGGTGCTCTTGCTGTATATTTAGAGATACTTGATGAAATATAAAAAAAAAAAAAATCAGTAATAATTTTGGTCATGACGTGACGTCTTGGATTCTGCCAGTTTCTCACTCTGCCTTTTCTATAAGTATTTTCATGGTAAGTGTTCGGATGAATTCTTCACTATGGTACCCAGACTTTATGAATTTAATGTATTAGATAAGCAGAAATGTCTCATCAATTCACAGTTGAAAAGACTAGATGCAACAGTAAAAAAATATATATATATGAATAAACTGTTAGCATGGAACTGCTAACAGTTTATTTTCTCGTACTTCTTCCCAGTGGGACGCTCTTCCGTCCCTATGCTTTCCAGCCAACTTTAATCTTCAAAAAATGTAAATGAAATAATTATTTACTGTCTTCTTGATTACTCTTCTTTTATTGTTATCGCTCCTTAATAATGCTTCTCTTTTTTCTTATTGTTTGACACTCAGTAACACCTTCTCTTAGAGGCTCTACTACCTTGCATGGGGTGAGATGATTAAAGGTATAATAAAAAAAGATGAATCTTAGTGAGAAAAATCGTCAATCATGATACTGTGAACCAATCTTCTGAACAGCAGAACTGGAAATTGAATATAATCATTTCAATTTATGTCCGTGTAAAAACGTTAGCACGAGAACGCGTGATAAGTGGTTTTCCTGGGGGTTATCATCAGCCGTACTGTTGGTAAGTAAAAACAGATCCGTCATATGATTAAAAGAGAGCAATATCTTATTTTTTTGAAGCGCTAAAATTAACAAGCCATTTTAGAAATTGAGAGACTGGAAATAGGATCTTAGTTCCTATGCACGGGTACCTTCAGAGCAGACATCTGATGACACAGTTTAAAACGCACACAACATACTATATTCAACAAGCAATATATGAAATTGCTCAGAATCTGTCTGAATTTCTGAGATGAGGTATTATGTACACTATTTACATTATTCGGACTATTATCTTCATCTTTGTCGCCATATTTATTACAATGTTTCGGTCGTTTTACGCTATCTGGCCTTCTTCAGGTGGTAGGAATGTCAAACTGAACCCTATATTTCGCTCACTGAGGTAGACTGTTCTAGATCCACGTGTCATGTCATCAAGGACACATGGCATAGTAGAAAACGGGGTTGGTTAGATCCAGTGGCAGGACCCAAAGTGTGTGAGTTCAATACCTGGTTAAGGCAGTGGAGAACTTGGAGAGGAGAATTGACAAGAGATGACTGATAACTGACATCCATTAATCATGGCACGTGGAACAGTCTACCCCAGTGAGCGAAATAAAGGGTTCAGTTCGACATTCCAACCAACTGAAGAAGGCCGGAGCGTACAACAGCCGAAACGTTGTAATAAATATGGCGACAAATATGAGGACAATAGTCCGAATAATGTAAATAGTGCATGAAATCTGTTCATTGAGAAAGTTTAAAACGCATACAAGATATTTATATTAAACAGAAAATATATGAAATCTGTGCATTGAGAAAGTATCTGCTTACTCGCGCAATTTTATGTTCATCATTGTGCAGAAATACTGTAAACTTTTGGCAAGAGGACGGGCGATTCCGTGAAGGACAAAGATATTCAGGCATTTAAAAAATCTAAAACATTTGTTGGATGTAAATAACACTAAACAATTTTCTCCCCCGATATTCGGTATGCAACAATGTGTCTTCTCGTATATGTAAACATTCTTGAGGGAAAGAAAAAACTCTATAAAATATTTATATGACCTTTTAGAGTCGGAAGGCTATCACACCGACCAAGAAGTCTTATATAAAGCATATGAATTGACACAGAAAAAAAATATTATTTCGTTTTTTGCTTCCATAGTCATATATATATAATATATATATATATATATATAATATATATATATATATATATATATATATATATATATATATATATATATATATATATATATATATATATATATATATATATATATATATATATATATTTATATATATTTGTGAATATGTAAAAAGCGTAAAAGTTTTCGTATTAACGCGTTCATCCTGTTGAAATTGGGAAAAGCATCACAGGAAAAAAATTTAACTAATATTTTCCAGATGTATCAAAATTTATATATCATTATCTCGTATTTTATATATATATATATATATATATATATATATATATATATATATATATATATATATATCCTCACAAGTAAAACGTCTTCAATGGCTATGCATGGATCTCTGAGTCGTGCTAACGGCGAAGAAAAAATATATCAAATAATATTTTATTAACACCGGCACTCAATGCTCATATATATATATATATATATATATATATATATATATATATATATATATATATTTGTGTGTGTGTGTTTTGCATAATGTATATAAAATATATGTTCGTATATCTATATGTATAAAATATATGTGTGTATATCTATATATAATAGAAACATATATAGATACATATTTATATAAATATATATGTGTGTCCATATATAAAATGAGTTTCTCTCTCTATATATATAATATGCGTATATATAACGTGCATATATATATCTATATGTACATATATAAAATGTCTATATATGAAAAATGTGTATATATATACAAAATAACTATGTATATGTGTGTGTGTCTGTATTTGTTTACATATAATAGCATTTATAATATGTAAGAATTATAATTATATATGACTGGAATGGAGGAGGCTGTCAATGAATATTCTGTAGACCGAGCATAGAAATATGCAAGCAATTAATATATACACAAAAAAAGAACAGAAAACAACAATTCAAAATTAGTTGTACTAGAAAAAAAATTAATCGGCTCAAAAACAGTAAAAAAATATATTAAATCTTTAAGTTTCCTTGTCTAAAAAGAATTTGGTGTCTCTTGTTTTTTTTTTTAAATCTATTCATAGACAATTTTATTTTGCGGAATATAGATTCAAAAGAACCTAGACTTTGGAGATCGTCATACTTTTGGCCGTCTCTTTTGCGTTTTCTCTTTCAGGTTTTATAAATATTTGCAAATTATTAACAAAGAAATCTTCATATTTGTTCTAAAACCGTATCAATGATTGATGACATTTCGATTTCAGCTTCTTCATTTAATAATAGTACAAAAGGATGGATAAGAAAATCATGGAAATTGAGTAACACCCTCTTAAGGCTACGCTGTTTTTGCCTTGATTCGATAGACTTCTCTTTTTCAATTATTCTTTTTTCTTAATAAATTTAGTAATGTTAAACAATGATAAAAGACAGCATCGTGGACTGTCTCCGGTTGCATTTCAGGAATTATGATTAATGTGAGACGCGAATGAAGAACACGTAGACACTTTATCACGCAGCGATTCACATAGATATATTGAGATATGTCATCAGTACTGTAAAATGAGTGATCAGATTAGATGTGTACATTGTGAAAGAGCTTCAGTTATGGCATGCCCTTGTATAAGTAGGCCTTTAGATAAGACGAGATCCAAAATCTAGTCCCATTTTTGTTATTTTTTATCTCGTATCCTGAGTATAAGTCGAACGATTGGGAACCTTATGACGAAACCCAAAATGAAGATGTTTAAAATGTACGCTTTGCATGAAGATGTTGATGATCATGATAATTTTGAAGGGTTTTAATTACGTATGTGGGTGTCTTATATTTTAAATTCCGTAATGAGAAACAAAATTTTATGGCATTGTAAATGTTTTCATGCTTAACACCGAGAAAAAAGCCAAAAAAACAACAAAACAATATATAATGTATATTATTGAAAAAAAAATTTTGCATATTATACTAAATGTTGTTACTTAGCACAAAAATCATAACGAATTTTAATTAGAAATATTGATAGTATGTTATCCTAAACCTTATTTTTTTTAACACTACTCTGAGGAAAAATGACTGGTGTTAACGGAGACAAATCAAGCTCTACAAATCAAGACCGAAAAGTTTGTTTACGTTACTTGTTAATTTTGCATGTGGCTCAGTGGAACTTTTACAAAATGTTATATAATCGTCTCTTGAATATTGCATTTTAATGTGAAATCAATATCTTGAATAGTGTATTTTAATTCACAATCAATAAGTAAATTTAGTTTTAGTACATTTATAATTGTAATACATCATTATAATTTTTCAACTAGAAATATTTCCATCGGTCGTTACCATATCGAGGTAGTTGTTAGCCTACCGCAATCAATGGCACACAGATACTAGCTTACTTATTATTACCGATACACTAGAGTATTTGAGGTTAATTTTTTAATTGTTATATTAGATGATCCTGTATTTTTGTGTGGACTTTTCAAGATTTAAATGTCGCCTTATACGCGGAAATATACAGTAGTTCTTGTATATTTGCACGAACCATTTAAAAAGAGTGTAAGTAAAGGAATTTAAATATCGTGGACATCATACAAGACGGAAAATATGAAACAGAAATCTGAAGGCGAACTGGGGCAGTGCAATATGCCTTTCAGAAGCTAAACTAAATATT